AGTTAGGCTCTTGTGACTTCTGGAGAATCTTTAATAGTATCAATAATAAGGGCAAGTCTGTAATTCCACTTCTTTTGTATGGTTCAGACTTTGTCACCTCACCTAAAGACAAAGCTGAATTGTTTGCTAAGAACTTTTCATCAATATCATCTCTTGATGCCACTAGTTGCGCTCTACCTGATATAGCCGTCAAACAGGTTGATCCATTGCTCGACATCCATATCACTCCAGCTTCTGTATCTAAAGTGATTTTCTGTTTAGACTTTTCTACAGCTTGCGGCCCAACATACAACATACCTGTTATAGTCTTGCAGAAGTGTTCTCTAGAGCTGTGGTCTGTTCTTTCAAAACTATTTAACAAGTGCTTATCAGAGTCTTGTTTTCCAGCCAGCTGGAAAGAGTGATCCAATTCATCTAACTACCATCCCATTAGTCTTCTTCCTATCATTAGCAAGGTTTTTGAATCTTTAATTAACAAACACTTAATCTTTTATCTTGAATCTCATAACCTACTTTCTGATCATCAATATGGATTTCTTCTCGTTCTATGGCTGATTTGCTAACAGTAATACCCGATAAATTTTATTGTGCATTAGATAAAGGTGGAGAGGTTAAGGCCATTGCTTTTGACATTTCTAAAGCGTTTGATAAAGTTTAGCATGCTGGTCTTCTCCATAAGCTTTCTTCTTACGGTGTATCTGGAAACATCTTTAAGATTATTGAATCCTTCCTTTCCAATCGTAGTATAAAAGATAAAACTCAATTTTTTTCAGCTAATCGTTATCGCAATAATTTAAACCTTCCTATATTTATGAACGGTAATGTACTTAATGAGTCATCTAACCTTCATCTTCTAGGATTAACTCTTACTTCTGATCTTTCTTGGAAACTTTATATCAAATCTGTTGCAAAATTAGCGTCTTCTAAAGTTGCATCTTTTTATCGAGTTCGTTGCTTTCTTACTTTGGATTCTATTATCCGCCATATCTGGGGCGGATCTTCTAATGATGCCCTTTTTCTTTTAGACAAGGTGCAAAAACGCATTGTAAACATAGTTGGACCTGCTCTTGCAGCCAACCTTCAACCTCTGTCACATCGTCGTAATGTTGCTTCTCTTTCTCTTTTCTACAAATACTGCTCTAAAGAGCTAGCACTGAGACGCTAGCTCTTTAGAGCTGGGCACTGCTCTAAAGAGCTAGCGTCTAGTTATCTTGCTCTACAACCTTCATCTTTTCTCTTCCAGTAACTTCCAACACTAATTAGTGGTTGCTTGCAGCCTTGTTGGTAGCGAAGATGTTAAAAAAAAAAAAATTAAAATTCCTAATGTTTCAGAAGCCTCCACTGACGAGAGCCCAACCAGCAAAAAATAAATTATTTTAGACCACTTAACTGTAGCTTTACCTAAAATTATATTTGTTTGTTAAGAATTTTGTATTTTTTTACCTAGGTTTACCTATAGTTCTTTATTGCCCTGTAGTACAATGATTTTTTGATTTAATTTACACAGTCTGTGTCGCAAATCTGAAAAGAAAAGTAAAAATTAAATTCCGGCATTCCAGCTTAAAATATTGTGATTTCGGCTGGAACCAGATTGACCTAAAAATCACAAATTCCGGCCAGAACGGAATTCCGGTACATCCCTATTCTATACCTGGATTTGACTTAAATATCAAAATGTAAAAAAAGATAAACATTAATATTAATTATATTAATAATAATTATTTTATTAATATTAAAATTACTATTTTACTATTACTAATTATTATAATATAACAATATTATATTAAATGTTGACAAATCTGGGTCATTCAAATCAGGGTTGGCAAAAACCTGGCCCAGTGGATTTTTTGGGGTAATTTTAGGGCTTTTTGGGGTTTTAGTTTATATCAGTTAAAACTTTTTTTTTTGCTAAACAATGTTGAAAATTAGTCTTTTTAATTAGTTGAAAATTTTCTACTTTAACTTCATTTATATATTATTTATATAATGTTATTTTATAATTTATACAAATATTTTTTTTATTATTTTCAATAAGATTCTTAAAAACAATTTATAATTGTAAAAGAAAAAAAAAGCTTCAAGTTAAACCTATATGTATTGATTTATTTTAGATTTAAAAGTAATATTTTTATAACTAACAATGCAAATGGGAAGTGGGATAAAGAAGGCTGGAGATTAAGTAACTGAAATTGAAAAGAGTACATAGGTTTCTTGTAACTTTTGTCATGCTTTGCTTAACAACAAGATAGAACAAGTAAAACCTCATTTAAAACATTATTAAAAGAAATTTAAGTTTTTACTCAAGCATACAGGTGATAGCTGAATCATCATCTCAAGTTGGAACAAAGTTCTTTGGCATCTGTTAGTTCTATGAATTTGCCAATACCTTGTAAGAAGAAATAGTTGATGAGTCATCATACGCAATATCAACTAATATGGAATAGAAAGAAAATATTGATATAAAAATAATTTTTTTTTCAGTGCAAATGTATCAAAACCTTTGGTAATTTATAGACATGGTTGATTCATTGAGACCAGGATCCACCTAACCATAAAATTTTTAGACATGACCAATTTAGTGAGACCAGGATATAATCCACCTAACCATAAAATGCTTGCAGGAGAGCTCTTGGAAAAAATAAAAATAAAATAAACAACAAAATGATGGATCAACTTAACTAAGAAGAGAAAACAATAACAATTATACAAGATGGTTGGTGTAGTGTTACTAATAATCTCATTATTACTCACTGTGCATATGATGGACTTAAGTCTAAACTTTTAGGCTGAATATAACTGAATTTGCAAACAATAAAAAATAGAGCAATATAAAAACAGCCAAGTGTTGAACCAAACTCCTTTTGGATGTCATTAAAGATCTTAATAAAACACACAACAAAGAAGTACAAAGTGGATTCCCCCAAGGTTCTGTTTTCTCAGCTCTACTATTCATTATATACGTCAATGATATTCTCAATATAATTACTTTAAATGCAACACTTTTTGCCAACAATACAAAAATATTTTACCCTTTTACTAATATGCATTCACACACCGTACTTCAAAATGATATTGATATCTTGGTTGACTGGGCAACTAAATGAGGGGTGAAATTTAATGTAAATTCTACACCTAGGCTACAAAAACAAACATCATTTCTATACTATTTACAATCCAGTGAAGAACACAAGGATTGACATCAAATCTACTAACTCAGAAACTGACCTCAGAATACATATCAACAATAACTTACTAATCTCCAAATCTGCCTCCATTCAAATTAATAAAGCTCTTCTCCATACAAATTAATAAATTGTCTTCTCTTATCTAAATTTATATTGTTTTAAAAGACTATTTTCAGCACTAGTTCGACTATATTTAGAATATTATGGATCTGTACTTAACCCTCGTCTACTTAAATACAATTGACAAGTTGAAAATATACTCAGAAGAGCATCTTAATTAGTTCACAAATTACACATTTTACATATCACCAAAGACTATTAATTAATATGACAACCATGAAATACCGACTAATCCGTGGAGATTTAATAAACGTCTGTAAATGGCTAAACAACTGCTACAACTGTCAAACAATCCAAAAACAATTATAAATTCCATTAAAAGAGGACATTAATTTAAACTAGAAAAGCCTTATTGTCGTTTTGCTTCTCACCAAAACTTTTTCACTTTACAGGGAATTCCATTTGTTGACTACTACAAATGGAACTCCCTCCCAGATGACGTTTTAATTGCGTCATCCTTGAGCAATTTTAAAAACAAACTAGACAATTATCTAAAAGAAGAAGCAATAATTTATGATTAAAAGTTAGAAAATAGACCACATACATAATGCATTTATATGACAGGTTGACAGGCATGTCTATACAAATCCAATTTGTAAACCTTATAAAATAATAATAATAAGTATTTGCTGTGTAAAGTTTAAGCTTAACTATTCTTTTAAGAAATAGTTACAGGTCAACTGTTTGTGACGTGATCAGAAATCAGTTCACAAAAAATTGCGTTAAGGATTTTGCAAATTTTTTTATAAACTTCAAACATGCTCTGCAAATTTATTCCTAAATTTCAATCATGTTCTGCTCACATTTATTCTTAAATTTCAATCATGTTCTGCTCACGATCAATAAAAAGTAGATTTTTCTCGTTTTTTATCTGGTCAAAAGTTGGTAATAAATTAAGAAATGAAATGTCAAAAAAGCCTGTGTATATATATAGACAGTATCAAAAATAGATAGTTGGTTTTCTAAAAAATTAGTCAAAAATGTAATTCTTATGAAAGTGTATTTATTCTAAATAAACCTTATTGAATGAATCTTTTAATTTTTTTGGTTTTCAAAAATATCATTGTAAAAACATTTTTTATTAAAAGTAATGTTTGAATTGAAAATTTTCCTTTTATAGTTAGCTAATATAATATGCTTATGTTTTCAGGAATATTGATTATAATAATTAATAAAATTATACAATATCTCCAAAAAACCAGATTGCCCGGGTTTTATTTGGTCAACCATAATTCAAATACACACAAAAAATATTAACGAATTATTTTCAAACTTTGCCTCTTTATTACTTTTTCAAATTTACTTTTTTTGTTTTGCCTCTACTGAATTAATTTTTGCTAAAAACAATAGATGCTTTTCCCACATTATAAACATCGGTTTCTCAATCGTCATATTATAGCATATACAAAAGTTATATATAATTATTATTCAGAAAAAGCGGTTTATTTTTAGTGGAATTAGTACATCATCTCTTTTTTTATTTACATTGTAATTACTTAAATTTCATGATGTCGCTTAATTGTTTTTTTTTATGTCAGGATTTTGGGGTTTGACAGTATAATTACAAACTTACATCTATTTTTATAACACTATATAAAATTTTTTTTATTAAATGAAAAAAGTATTAATAGTCAATTGTAGTTATTTTTATTTAAAAATAAAAATAAAAAAACAAGTAAATTTAATATTTTTTAGGCTGGATAATCTTCGTCGAGAGTAAATAATAGTAACGAAAAGAATTTAATACTGTGAAACATAATCGCCATGATTGTTTTATTTTTTCTCATTGATTTAGAATAAGACTTGTATAATTCATATTTATAAAATTTGTTTGTTTCGAAATATCTTTATTTTCACTATCCACTAGCTTGTTCTTCAATATAGATTTTTTTTTCTATTTGTATATAACGATATGTATATTGTCAGTAATTTTTTTAGTAAAAATTTTAAATTAGTAAACAAAGAACTCACCTTATTATTAAATAGATTTTTTATGTGTGTATGAAATTAAAATTTTATAACCTACTGAACAAAAAAACTGTAGACACAAAATAAATCTCCGTTTGGTAGCGGTGATTAGTTTTCGATTGCGTCTTTATAATTAGAGACACCAATCTTCATTATAATTTAGTTTGTAATGTTAATTACAACATTTATCTTCTCAATTAGGGTGGGGCAAGATGACCCGAGGGGCAGGAAGTTTTTTTACTTTTGTGAGGGTATCATAGAATAGTAATGTTTCTATTCCTCTATTATATTATTAATATAGTTAAAACAATATCACGGAAAAAAAAATAGTTTAAATATTGTTATTAGTTTAAGTTTAAATAGATTTTTAACTTTTTTGAGTATTTTGTGAGTAAGTTGCTTCTAACTTCAAATATTTATTGGACTGGCAATACTTATACGATAAAGGTAAAAAAATTTATAAATTTTTTATAAATGTACATTTAATGTATATATAAATGTATTATAAATCCATATTTAAAATTTGCAGTGCATTTGGGGAAATAAAGTTGTATTACATTAAATTAATGATCAGCAACTGAATGTAAATATCAGGTAACCAATAAAGTTCGTGCAGTTTTTCCTAATTCCTATTTACTAGCAAAAGTATTATAAGATAATTGTTGTGGTAGGAAGATAATTTTGTTTATAAATTGAAACTTGTTTCAACGAGAATCAATCTGTGTGTTTCATAAGTTTTATTAGTGCGATTTAAATTTAAAATTCCTTAAGTTGAGTATGGCTGTATCAAATGCGATGATTCGCGCCTATTTACTTTATGAGTTTAAACTTGGCACCAAAGCTGCAGAAGCTTGTCGCAAGATATGCGCCGCTTTTGGGAAGGTACCATAGCAGAACGGACGGGTCAAAAGTGGTTCAAAAAATTTTTCAAAAAATAAAAAAAACTAATAATGGCTTTTATTTTCAAAAACTTTTAGTTATTTTTAACAACTGTTTTAATGGTTTGGGGAAAAGCGCGTGAAAAGCTTTCTTTATTTTAATCCTTAGAGCATTTTGCCCTACGACTGGGGCAAGATGTCTTCTGGCACAAGTATTTTTTTTTTTTTTTTTTTTTGATTTTAAAGTTTATCAATAGTAGTAAAGTAGTTATTTTATCTTACCAATGTCTTTTCTTAAAAGTAAACTTTGATATTAAAAAGAAAAAACACAAGAAAATGTAAAAGTATTTATTAAATACGATAAAGTTTGTTAAAAGGGGCATCTTGCCCCACCCTACCCTACGTTTCTTAATTACAACTTTCACCTTCTCAATTACATTTTACTTTTCTTAATTACAACTTTCAAGTTCTCAATTATATCTTGAAAAGGCTTCAGAAGAAAAAGATCCAGGGTTTAATGCGAGCTCTGGCATAATTTGCGTTATCGATAAGAAATGAGGCGGGAATTTCCTTGTTATATACTCTTCCATTAAAACATACAACAACTTTGCACCATTTAAAAATTATATGCAAGTATGTTAAGTTCAGTTAGTAATCTATAATAAAAAATAAACCGTAAAAATAAAATAAAAAATAATCACACCCTAAAAAACTTAAGATAAGTTAATAGAAGATTTAAATTACAGACAAGTTAAAAAGATAGTTGTTAAAAAAAAAATTAAAAAAAAGAGTTTAATTCTTTAACATCGTTAATAAGTTTTTGTTTGAACTTTCGTTTGAATTGAGAAAGTAAAGCTTTCTTCTTTTTTCAGATGGTTATTTAATAAACTATTATAAAAATATAATCCAATTATGATTTATAGGTTTTTCTGACATTCTTTAAAATTTATGATGCAGACTATAATACGAACTAAACTTTAAAAAAAAGGTATAAATTTATCATGATTAACAAAAAAAATCAGGAAATTTCCTAAAATTAAACAAAAAAACATATTAACTTTAAACTTACTGTAATACACGGAGAAATTAATAAATAAGTAAAAAACTTAAAAGACTTTTTTAAAAGTTCTTATTTACTTTGAGCTCCATTTTCATATAAACTATACTAGAATTACCTTTAAATCAAAAGCGAAAAAATCTAGTATAGTTTATATGAAAATAAAAAATTTTTTTTTTAGCTCAATGTGACGTATAAATGTGAATATAAAACTTGGCGACAAAGTCTTTATAAGGTATTAAAGGTATTTCAATTATCTTTATCGATAATTGTTATATTGATAAAAAATGAGAGGAAAGAAAGTGTATCAAATAAGTCGTAATTCACGTAGCATCGAATTTTTGACACAAATAATCATGTAGCAGAAAAGGCTTTCTCAGTCAGATTTTTTTAGAACGGTAGTCTCTAGTGCATTGAGCAAAATTTCAAAATTCCCAGCTCTTTTTCCTGTAGCTTCATTGATCAATCTTTCTTTTGAAACGGTTTTGAATTCGTTGTTTCAAGTTAATCTTTAAGTGAAATAGGATTTTAATCAAGATTTTTTGAGCCATCTGTCGATTATCAGGATTGGTTAAGAAAAGCTTAGACAGCAAATATTTAGAAGTCTTTTCAAGTACAGATAAAGATATTTACAAGCTTATATTATACAATATATATAATATATTATACAAGCTTACAAGTTTGCACTGTTTTCTCTCTTTAAATTGTCATAGAACGCATCCAGATGGATAGACAACAGTTGCCTTGTTCGCTATAATTTCTTCAATAACCGTGCTCACCCATGAAATGCACTGCCAAACGAAGCTGTTAGTGCTATCAGTGTTGACCGTTTTAATTTTAAATTATTTTAAATTTAAATTTTTGTAAATAAATTAAAAATAAATTTTTGAGCATAATAGTTTTATTTACCTTTTTTTTTTTTTTTTTAAACTTTTGTTAGAGAAACATATAAATAAATGAGATGTCTGATTTACGTAATGAAAGCAATATGCATAACTTTAGGTAAGGGTGAGCAAAACCGAATATCCGGTCCGGTTTGATAAAATCGAATTTGGATTTTAACGAACCGGATCCGATATCCAGGAAGTTTTATATAGGGGTGATTTTAATTAGTGTATTCAGTATATCTGGTTTTGTTCATCCATAGTTGGAAGCTCCAATAAATTTTAACAAATCGGACCGGTTATCCAATCCGGTTTGGTAAAATCCGATTTTAAAAACCGGACCAAAGTATTAGGTTTTGCTCGCCTCTAACTTTAGGAGTGATAGGGTAGGGTGGGGCAAGAGGCCCAGGTGGGGTAAAAGGCCCATCCTGCAGTTATAAAGAACCTAGGTAAAATATTATAATTATTGTTTTGTAGTATGAATGATAAATGTGTAACAGTGTTGCGAGCGAATTTTGGTGAACTTTTAGTAGAAATATAATTTTTAACAGAATATTGAAGACTTGACAGGTAATAAGAATAGGACATTTTAATTTTTTGCGTAATTTTAAAAATTTTTTGTAGATTATTGTTAAACTTAGTTGATTATTTAAATGAGTTTATGTATTTGTAAGCGTACAAATTATGTATTGATTATTTACATAACGTTCATGGTACCATAGAATAATATGTTTTTATCAATTTTTGCACCGACCATTTTGGGGCAAAAAGCCCAGTTTGTTAATGGGGCAAAAGGCCCATCCTGAGCTTTTTACCCTTTGCATTATTTAAGTAGAATGTTCAAATTTTAACTTTATTTTATTTATAGATATGGTTAGAAATTACAAAAGGAAGACAAAAAGAGGAAGTTATGGAGCAGAAGGTTTACAACGGGCTTTAGATTCAGTAAAAAATGGTATGTCTTTGCGTAAAGCTGAAAACAGTTTTGGAGTTTCAAGGAAGACATTGAGAAGGCATTTGCACGGCAAAGTAAGACAAGTTGGGAGCAATAAATTAGGAAATCATGTGAATACTTTTTCTATTGAAATTGAACAAGATCTTGTTTAACACATCCAAATGATGGAAAGAGCATTATTAGCTAGAAACGAAACAAGTGAACCTACGAATACAAATGAAGAAGCCGGCAATGCGGTGGATGATGAAGCATCGGTTAATGTGATGGAGACTGATAGGATTGCAACAGGAGATAGCAATGAGTCCGATGAAAATCAACTAGATAAAACAGCTGATCATCCTGGTTTATCCGAAGCATTGCAGATTATATCAGAACTAAGCCCTATTTCAAGGATAAAGAATGTACGCAGTCGCAAACGAAAAACCGAAGCAGCAACTGTAATAACTTCTAGCCCTTATAAAGCAATGTTAATTGAAGCAAATGCAAAGAAGACAAAACAGAACAAGCAAGTAGTAGTTGAAAATAATAATGAGGAAAATAATGAAGACGAAATCGATGTAATCGCAGACAAATCCAAGAGAACGAAAAGTGGAGATGACAAAGAAACCGGGAAAAGGAAGCAATATGCGAGAACAAAATCAAAAAGGACAATCAAAAGTAACCCATCGAATGCTAACGTGATAAGAAAAGGGTCAAAAGAACGAAGATGTGTAGTTTCTGTTACTAACAGTGATGATACGCCATGTTGCATGTGTGGTAAAAGATTTAACGAACCACCCATTGATGACTGGCAGCAATGCCCAGAATGTCTCAACTGGTACCACGACGGCTGTGGTCCTGATGACACTGCTGTCTGCTTTCACTGCCAATAGGCATAATCAATTCAACTAGTCTTACTGTAGTTTTTTAGCTGTCTTTTTAGCTGTATGAATTAGTTTTTTAGCTGTCTTTTTGGGTTATGAATTATTTTTTTAGATATCTTTTTAGCTCTATGAATTAGTTTTTTTTAGCAACTTTTAAGCTCTATAAATTAGCTTTTAGCTGTGTTTTTCAGCTCAATAAATTAGTTTTTATAGCTATCGTTTTAGTCTATAAATTTTTAGCTCTTTTTAGCTCTATTAATTTTATGGTGCTGTTTGCCATTGTCATATGATAGCATATATGGTGCTACTTGCTAATATTATGGTGCTAAGTGTTCTACTAAAACTTTTGTTGGACATTTTTACACACAAATATATTGT